CGTTTACCATCCAACCTGACAGAACTGGAGAGGATCTGCAAGGAGGAATGGCAGAGGATCCCCAAATCCAGGTGTGAAAAACTTGTTGCATCTTTCCCAAAAAGACTCATGGCTGTATTAGATCAAAAGGGTGCTTCTACTAAATACTGAGCAAAGGGTCTGAATACTTAGGACCATGTGATATTTCAGTTTTTCTTTTTTAATAAATCTGCAAAAATGTCAACGATTCTGTGTTTTTCTGTCAATATGGGGTGCTGTGTGTACATTAATGAGGAAAAAAAATTAACTTAAATGATTTTAGCAAATGGCTGCAATATAACAAAGAGTGAAAAATTGAAGGGGGTCTGAATACTTTCCATACCCACTGTATATACTGTATATATTTCATAAAAGAATCAATTTCAAAAACTATCTTCAAGTTTTACAGAAGAAAGTCATATTGTTTGGAACGACATGAGAATAGCAAAGATAGCAAAGCACATTGCACATGATAAATAACTGCACTAGAAAAGTGCACTTTTGGAAAAGGTTTGTATATATGCTGTCACAACTAATGACTGATTCCTCAAAATTATTCACAAGCAGCAGGTGAGCGTGATTCACAAGCTTGTCTGGACACTGTGAAGTCCTGATTTACATTCGCTGCGAGAGAAACGCTGTAGCTGCTGTAATGTACAGAAACAATATATCTGAGCCAAGATCCCACGGGTACTTGAATTATTCCCAAGACAGATGGATTCAGGTGAGATGACAGAGATGTAAAGCCATGTATGGGTGGGCTGTTTTGGCCTCGGCTCGCAGCTCGATCAAAAATTGCCTTTGAAAAATGCCCCGCCCCCAGCACAGTCATAAATTGGACTCGCTTATCAGCAAACCGATTCGATCTCTTAAAGTGCCTAAGGTCTCCTCTACATCTAAAGAGGCCATCCATCCATTCATCCATCCATCTAGTTCTTTTCTGAGTTTGTTTAAAAATGGAGGCAAATGGTTTTGCTTCCATCTTGGCAAGGCCTTCAGCCAGCTACTTTTTCGGTCAGAGGTTCCCAAAGTTTTTTGTCAGCTGAAAACCTATGTGAACTATTTACTTGAAGTACCATCTGAGAATTAATATTGTTATAATGCAATAATGCAATGTTCAGTTCTGAGGTCACATGGCTTGCAAGTAAACAGAAAAAATATTTAATCTTTTTATTTTTAGTAAGTGTTTTATTTTGATTGGTTTTATTTTTTTAGATTCTTTATATATGTAGGGCTGCACAACATAGCCAAAAAATTATATTGGAATTATTTTGTCATATATGATTGTGATTTAAACTGCAATGTGACAATTATGAAAACTATATCTATATATGTAAGTATTTTTAAGCATATATCTAAGTATATTTATAAATTATATAGCAATTTCAGTTTCATTTTAATGAATTGTGCAGCCCCATTTCTTAATTTTAATTTTACATTTGATGATAAGCTAATAATCATTATATCTATATATCTAAAAGAATATTTATTAATTATATTGCAATTTCAGTTTTATTTGAATTAATTGTGCACCTTCATTTTTTTATTTAAATTTTACATTTGTTGATAAGCTAATAATGAAATAAACCCCTGCATTTCCATCAACAGTCAAATTTGACAACAATAACCTATTTTACTTTTTTTTTCTCAGATTGGTCCACTGAATGTTCTTCCTGGTCTAATGTTCTGATCTATATTGGTGCTTTTAACTGAAAATTGAGATTTCCATTGTTGCTGTCGCCATATTTCTCCATCTTTGGTACCTGTTGAACACACACCTTGCTGGATTAACCATGAGACTTTGCAACATCTCAGCTATAACCAAAGGTGCCCATATCACCATACAAAGGGTTTCAGTAATTCCTCCCTGCAGGGGCGGAGCCAGGGGTGGCCGTGGCCTCTGACCTGGATTTATTAGGAACCGCCTTATCTCTTTATGACCACATCAAACGGGACACTTTTCAGACGCATACTTCAACTTCGCCTCAGCGCCAGGTGCATGTCAAACGAGCACGGAACGGAACATGTGCCAAATGAGCTTCAGAACAACTGTGAACTGTGGTCAGTGTTGGGGAGTAACTAGTTACATGGCACAAGTAAATATGAAAACAGTGCACTTATACTAGAAAACATGCGCTATTTTTTTTTATTTTACAAACGAGATTTTATTTTTTATTTTATAAACGAAAATAAAACCATTTAAATGCATAAAATAACTCATTTTACATTCTGGCATTTATGTGCTGTTGACTTCCGGCCTTTTTTTTTTTTTACTAACCAATTCTTATCACTATCTGCATGTCTCATCCATGAGTATACAATGATGGAGAACAACCTTTTGGTAGTTTTGAGAACCAGAACCAAGCTGACTGAGCAATAAAGCTATAATGAGCCCCTTTATTAAAATACCTGGAGGTGGGGAATAATACACAAATTGTCATATTCACTCAGCATTACTTGATCTAATTCACAAATATCTCAATTACAATTTAGTAGAAATTAATTGTATTCAGTTGTGTTTTAGGCACTAAAACAGTCCAATACTTTATAGTCAATGACATTTTTATATTGAAATAATGAAGATTTCTGTGCCACCCCCTCCCTGGCCACCCCTATAAAAACATCCTGGCTCCGCCACTGCCTCCATGTACCTGCAGCACTGCAGTGCTTCATTACTCCCCAGAGCGTGGCCAGAGCAAAGGCTGAAGAGCTCTCTCTGAGTCATTTACTGATTACTGGCTTTCTGATGGATGTAGTGCGTTTTTGACAGGCCTTTTTCACACTGTGATAATGGTGTAATGAAATACCAGCGTGCGGATGGGAGGACGGTGTGGCGTTGGCGTGTTGGACGCATGAACGACGGTGGCAGGAGAGACTAAATAAGCGAAGGAAAGCAGTGTGGGGAAATGAAGTGGCTTCTTTAAATTAGGTTGGAGTGTGTTGAAGTGTGGCGGTTTGTTCCATGCTGAGTGGCTGCTCTTAAAGTGCTCTGAACTTAAAGCCGTATCGGATGAAAAAGTTTTGAAAAATCCATCCTGGTTTGTTATTTCTAGCGCACATCAGTGTGAAACAGAAAGATTGAAAAGGAAACATCAAAGATACTGTTTATAGGATCCTTGAATCAACTCAGGAAAAAAAATCAGTGCAAGTGCTGCACCACTTTACACTTGATTTCAGTGTGGTTTTAGCCTCATCATTAGCCATTTACTCTCAGATTTTCGGGTACACTAATTATTGTTCATGCAATTTTACGCATAAAACAATATTGTGTTAACTTCCAACTAAGAAGCCAAATTTAAGCAGTTAACAAAATTGTCCTTCTCATATTAAAACGTAAAATAAAACGTATATATATTTAATGTATACTATAATTTTACATTCTAATGAGGGAGTAAAAATGAAACTCAACTTCTTTACTTTATATTTGACAGGCATGTGGTTAAAAAACTCTTGGAATAGAGAGCATCAGACTTAAATTCTCTCACCAAGGAAGTCAGAATGTAGGTGTAGTACACTGACAGCATCCCCAACTCTGAGGCCTGGAAGATAAAAGAGAAGAGAGAGTTACATTAAACACTTTTGACAGTGCTAGGCTAAATTAAACAGCTACTAAGACTAAATCCGCGCTCTGCATTGCCGGCATTGAGAAGCAAAAGGCATGGTTCACTGCTTTGTAAAACCTGTTCAGAGTTGGATGAAAGCTAACAAAAGACAGACAACATTCCCGTTCTGTCATTGCCATTCTATTTATCAATTCTCCAATGTCTCCAAGGAAACCAAGCAGCAAATATAATGTCAATCAAATGTCAGGGGTGATAACACTTTCAACAATTATTTCTATGGAAATGGAGAGACAACTGAGTAAAAGGGACAGTTTAGAGTACAATAAATGCACGAGAGGGAAATAGATTGAGCGGTTGGGCGTGTTGGTCTTCTTTCTATAGCAGAGAAAAATGTTAAATAATTAATTAAAAATATATTGATCAGGAATAACCGGCAGTGAAATATAATTACATTTCCTAGAACAAAAAGAACAATGAAGTAACTTGGTAATTATTATAGGTCTCACAAATAATCTCTCCAAAACTGCTCTTGCAGATCTTTTCATTAACCTTGCAGCCATGATCAATAACCTCAAGCCAGACAGTGCATACACAGATTTATTTTTAGTTATTGTGCACTGCAGAATAGGGTAGGAATCACAGTGGTTGATTACAATTTTGGCTATTTTTTTTTTCCTGGTTACTTTGAAAATAATAATTAAATTTTATTTCCATCATCATTATTACTACTACAACTACTACACTGGATAGACATCTTTGACTGTTGAGATGCATTTTGCACCATTTTGGGATGGCTAAAATTTAAAAGCAGTTAAAAGACATTATACACTACCTTTCAAAATTAGGGAACAGTAAGATTTATTTTTTGAAATAATTTTTTTTTAATTTTAACAAGGAAGAATTAAATTGACCAAAAGTGACAGTAAATATATTTATAATGTTACAAAATATTTCTATTTAAAATAAAAATCTGTTATTTTGAACTTTTTATTCATCAAAGAATCCTGAAAAATGTACACACACACACACACACACACACATTTCTTGAGCAACAAATCAGCATCTTAGAATGATTTCTGAAGGATCATGTGACACTGAAGACTGGAGTCATAATTGTTACTTACTGTCATGGAAATAAATTACATTTTAAAATATATTAAAATAGAAAAAATTTAATCGTAATAATAATTTACAATATTACTGTTTTTGCTGTATTTTTTTTTTAAATAAATGCAGCCTTGGTGAGCATAAGAAATTGCTTTCAGTAACACTTTAGTATAGGGACCAATTCTCACTATTAATAAGTTGCTTATTAGCATGCCGTATTATTAACATATTGGCTGTTTATTAGTACTTACAAAGCATATATTCTGCATGACAATATTCTACATCCCTAATCCTACCCAATACCTAAACTTAACACCTACCTTACTAACTATTATTAAGCAGCAAATTATGAGTTTATTGAGGCAAAGTTGTAGTTAATTGCTTGTTAATAGTGAGAACGTCTCGGTTATGTATGGTAACCCTCGTTCCCTGAAGGAGGGAACGGAGACGTCACGTCGGATGACCGACGAATTGGGATCTCGCTTAGAGAGACCAATCTACTTCAAGTGTAAACTAAACGAGCCAATAGAGAGGCAGCGATCGTGACCATCACCCGGCGCCAGGTAACGACCGCTCCCAGAAACACACGGATGGTAAGACATCTTTAAAAACACGCATCTTTAAAAAGACGTTCCACCCGTGAAGCTCTTTTAGATGGAAATTGCTCTTTTAGTGTGCTGAAGCGCACAGGGGAGATGGCCGTCTGCAACACACACAGGGGGTAGTGCAGCCTGATGTGTGCAACCCACTCGACACGGGAAAACCACCGCCGCTGAAGCGCCGTACCACCAGCACGAGAGCCCACAAAGAGCGTGCTTGACTGTAGTTTTTTCTCTACGCAGAAGGTCAGGAGCAGAACGATAGAACCGCTCGGCTCCGAAGCGAAAAGCTGAATATGCGCTGCATCTGCTGCCTACTTATACTCACGCTGTGATCAGCGGCAGCTGGATGCAATAATCGCATGCGAATGTGCATTGGCTCGTTTAGTTTACACTCGAAGTAGATTGGTCTCTCTAAGCGAGATCCCAATTCGTCGGTCATCCGACGTGATGTCGAGAGTGACCGACTGAAAGGGAACTAGACCTTAAAATAAAGTGTGACCTTTCTTTCAAGAACATTATTAAAAAAATCTTATACCATTGCCAAAACTTTTGAACAGTGGTGTACATGGCTTCCTTAAGGCTGATTAATTGACTAGTCACTCAGGCAACCCACTGAACAGTTTTTCTAGACTTGAAATTAAGAATTGTGCTCATCCCTTCTTCAAAATGTGCCCTCTAAACTTTTTTGTTTGAACATTATTAATGGCACAGCCCCAAAGTTATGTTCCTTCCGACCTGTGTGACATGTACAACTTATGTGGCAAAGCATAATTTGTAGATGCCTCAGATCTGCTGACGGTAGCGTAAGTACCAGATTTGAACTTCCCAAACTCCCTGCTTTGTTCCTACATTTTAGAGCATAAGTCATGCTAACACAGCACTCCTAGACACCTGTTCTCTAGTAGTTGCATTACAGTTCAAAGCAGCATCTGTATTATTGCACTTATATACACCCAGACTCCCTGCCTAGCGTCCCGTAATGCCCATCTGCATTTCATTTGACCAGTGTCGTGTTAAAAAGAGAGAGAGAGAGAGAAAATGGACCACAGGAGCGGAGAGTTTTTCCAGGTTATGATGATTTTGTCCTTGCGTAAAGTATTTTATAATGAAAGATTTTCCCTGCAATTGCCCATGTAATTGAATCCTGTAACTCAAGCTGGTGTGTGAGCCGTGCTGTGAACATTGGCAAACAGCTCTAGCATGCTTGCCCTACACTCGCTCCTCACAACCTGAACGAGTGCCAACTTTCCACAGCTCTGCTGCATGCTCGCTCCATATAGATCCAGAGAGAGAGAGAGGAACCGGGAAACATGAACGGAAGATGTGAATGGATAAAACAGAGACAGCGAGAAATACAGAGCGAGAGAGAGAGAGAGAGAGAGAGAGAGAGAGAGAGAGAGAAAGAGATGGGTTCAAGGAGGTATGAGAAACATAGTATGGGTGACAAACTGACAAGGAACCCAACTGTGAACCGTGCAACCCACCGGTGCAACAGTGGTGTTCTTGTCCCTGTCTCCATAGCAACAAGAAAAGCCAAGGAAAGACCTGTGATAGTCATCAGACACTTTGATTAAAGAGCAATGGTGTGAATAGGGAGGAAAAATGGATAACCATTGGCTGAAATGTATGAAAAGAACAAGATTAGATGAAATGAGCAGAGAAGAACATAACATGAGAAGAGACAAACTGAGTCAAGACAGAGAAGAGAAGAGAAGAGTTTTAGTTAACTATAGTAACCCTGCCATGAGCACTATATAGTTGCGATCACATTATCATTGGGGTTAAAGCAAAAAAAAAAAAAATCTTTTGACTGAAAATTTTTCCTCGGCCAAACCCCATTCCACAGCCATACCTGTAACACACCCAGTTAAGGGCAGTTTTTTTCTTCTTGTGATTAGGAGCGCTTGTCCTCCTAATTAAAAAAATTTAGCAGCAATAAAAAATTCTGATCAAAAATTAGCCTTCCTAATACGAGGTGACATTTGACTCAAAGTTTACAGGGGCATTTTCTTTTTACCTTTGTAAATGCATGTTTCTAATTGTATTAAATGTATGCAGTGTTAGGATTTAGTCCAGCTGTGTTGGCAGGACTATTTCCCACGGACCATGCCCCCTCCCCACCCAAGAATCACATGCACTCAGAATTAAATTTATTTTAACTAAAAAAGACAAGAAAATAGTAAACATTTTCTTTTTACCTTTGTAAATGCATGTTTCTAATTGTATTAAATGTATGCAGTGTTAGGATTTAGTCCAGCTGTGTTGGCAGGACTATTTCCCACGGACCATGCCCCCTCCCCACCCAAGAATCACATGCACTCAGAATTAAATTTATTTTAACTAAAAAAGACAAGTAAATAGTAAATAATAAAATAAGAACAAATAAATTCATGACAATCAATAGCACAAACAAAAACAATAACAAGATACAAATTAAATTAACAGTACTTTAATTTTTCAGTTAGGTCTAACTATAATCTATTCAACTGTAAAATAGCACTGGATAGTCTTCACTGTATAATGAAAGACAGCAGCAGGTTTATTTAGGCTGCTGTCTCTTTAAGACCTCATGCACGGATCTAATATACTGTTACACAGAGCTCTATGTTTAGTTTTCTTTTTAGGAGCGCTTGTCCTCCTAATTTAAAAAAAATTAGGCACACCTTCTGATCAATAATCAAAAATTCTGATAAAAAATTAGCCTTCCTAATACGAGGTGATATTAAAAAATGTAGGAGCACCTTCTGATCAATAATCAAAAATTCTGATAAAAAATTAGCCTTCCTAATACGAGGTGATATTTGACCCCTTAAAGTGATTTACAGGGGCATTTTCATGTAATGGCATCATTTTAATCTATGTCAAATTAAAAAATTTATGTTTATAAGCTTTTTAAAATTTCGATTTAAATCAATATAATAAGAAGTGGAATAAGACAAATAAGTAACCAATCATATGAAATTAGTAATAATAAAAAATTAATTTGTACTACAGAGGTGGCACAGAAGAACACAAAAGTGGCTTGTAGGTACATTTTCAGACGTTCAGTGAGGCTCAGAGGTGGCATGAGTGCAATTAAATTCATAAATTCATGTGGAGATTAATGTTTTAAATATACAATTTCGAATACAGAAATATTAAATCATTTAAATAACTGAAATTATATGTTAAAAATGAAACTAAATTCGCCAGCAGATGGCAGAAAATAACTGATTTTTATCACTGAATCATTCATTCAATTGATTCGTTCGAATGGCTGATTCATGCAGGAATGAAGCAAGTGACTGTCTTTATGAATGGGTAATCATGTATCACTGACTCACTAGATTCTTTTAAACACGCACTTTCATTCACGAATGAAACACAGCTGTGTTTGCTTTAGGAGATGCGCAGCAACTCAGCTGTTACTTTATTTGGAACTATTTTCCTTGATGAAATAGAGCAAAATTAGGCAGTACTTGTTTATTGAACTGTTGTATTAAATCAATATCACATTTACAAACTCCCTTAAAAATGATTAAAAGCTGTCACTCCCCTGAGTCCTTATCTTATATTAACCTGCAGGAATGAGTAGAATTATTGTTAATAGCCGCAATCCCGCACCGAAATTCAAGTTCTGCTCTGTGTTCTCTGCTATTTACCCGACTGTGATTCCTATTGAAATGACTAAATTTTACCTTTGAAATTTCACAGAACAACAGTAAATGTGACTGCACCTTAAAAGCCTATAAGGGGCCCATTCACACATAATGGGGTTTTGCATAAAAACAGTGACACTAGGCAGTGGAGTGAAAAAAGTTGAACTTCTTTTAACTTCAGTTCTGCATTTTTAGACTGACGTGTCATACGCAATTCTGTCTGTCCATTTTTTCTCCATTGATCACATTCACTCTCTTTTCACCAGTCTGCAATCAGCCTCTCCTGCAGAGCCATTAATTTCTCTTTCCTGAAAATAATGATTCATGTTTAATTATGGCTCATACTTGCTGCAGAGGTGTGTGTGTGTTCAGTCATTTATCTATACTGAATTACTCAGTCATGAGGCCGCATCCATGTATGTTCATGTTCATTTGCATTGAATGTGTCAAAAAGAAAGATTTACTTACTACAGTTCATAAGTGTCAGTCTTACAAATGAGGAGCAACAGGCTCCAACTGAGTTCAAGGGATGGATGAATAATTAACTATTATATTTAACTCTTACACTTAAAAAACACATGAACAAAAGGTCATTAGAATAATGCTACACTGAGAATCTAGTGGAACACTTACTTATATAGCTTAATGGCATCATTATATTCTTCCATCTTCATGAGCGATTGTTAATTTTATTCTGAGACTCAAGGTCATGGTCATTGACATCCAGATCTATCGTTTAAATAGTAATAGCAAACTATTTTCAGCTTATAATTACATAATCATAGCCTTTTACTCATATTTTTGCAAACCTTGGATGTATGGAGATCCTATGGAAGCTTATTTCTGAAAATTATAACTTTTTATCTCACAGTTATTTTTTTATCAAATTTGCACGATTCATAGGAAGTTTCAAAAACATATTTTTTTCCTCAGAATTGTGCGTTTTGAGAGCAGATGGCTCTGCATGCTTTTGAATCGCTCTTGCAGTACATTTGATGTTATACACCGATCGATCTGTGCAGCGCCGCTTCAAATCCAACGAGCCTAATGGTTCACCCAATTCATTCAAAACGTGTATTAAGAAATGAAATGCAGCTGTGTGTTGCTCGGAGACGAACAGTTCTGCTTTGCCTTTATATTTTTGTTTGCAAAACCGAGCAAAACAGACAACATTGTGTCTAAAATAACACACTATTAACTTATTTATTGAACTGTTCAGTATCACATTTGCAGTCGTGTGATATTGCAATTATTGCTCATGTAATATTGCTTAACTATATGATGTAAATATGAGACAAAAGCTTTTTGCCCCATATCTTGAATTTTAGGGACATTCTAACTATGTTCTCTAGGCTTAGATGACCCACGTAGGTCTGGGACGGGGCAAGTGCGTTAAATGCGTTAATAATTTTAACGCGTTATTTTTCGCCGTAATTAATTAATCTAATTAACACATTAAATATCCAGCCCTAATATACACACACACACACACACACATTCTCTTGTTTATTATCATTTACATTCATTTAATTGAAAAAATAAAAATTATTAGTTAACTGATTAGTAATTTTTGAAGCACATCCCTCTCAACACATTCCATCCTATTGTAAAAGCTTCCATGTACCATGTAGTAAAAAATAAATTAATAAAAAATGTAATTGCGAACTTTTTATCTCATAATTCTTTTTCATAATTGGGATATAAACTTTCTATATATATAATTCTGAGAAAAAAGTCACAACTGTAAGATGTTAACTTGCAACTGTGAGATATAAACTTGCATTTCTGAGAAGAAAAGTCTGAATTGTGAGATATAAACTTTCGTGAGAGAGTTTGCAAGAAAAAAAGTCAAAATTATGAGATAAAAAGTCGCAGTTACCTTTTTTTATCCATGGGATATGCTGCTAAAACCATTTTACCAATCAGTATTTTTGTCTTGTTTTCAATTAAAAAAATACTAAACAACCCTAAACAAGACAAGTTTACTTGAGAAGAATTTCACAAAATATTGAAATGTGTTTTTAGTGAAAATACATTCAATTTTACCTCACTGGAAAAGAAAAAGAAATAATGGTAATATCTAATTACATCGCACAAATGTGGTTTTAATTAATTTAATGCTTTTGATTTAATGAAATTGATCTTGTTTCATGGTTATTTAGACAAAAATAAAGATTTTTTTTTGCACAACATGCCGACTGTCAAGCTGAGACGTACCCTTTCCAAAATAATGTGAGACATGGTGGCGTTGGCATCCACTATGATAGTGTCAGTCTTGTCATCGCGGATCTCCTTGAGAAGGGGGGTGGGATCCTGGCTGTCATCCAACATGCGAACGGAAAGCGTTTCCTTGGAGATGAGAAACTGTCGCAGTAACACCTCCAGGTTTAATAGGCCTGTTGAAAAGGGGCACACACAAAGCACTTCAGCGTCCTGAATCATGTCACCTTTGCTCACAACAAGAAATACATCCTCCCTCTCTTTTCACAGCAATTATGATGCCACGGGATCGTCCCTTTTAAGGGACTAGAGTCGATTTTCTGTGGGTGTAAATATAATGTTATTACATTTGTCTGACAAATTTCAGCTAAATTATCTGCCAATATTTTTAATTGAATTCAACAACGATAACAAAGCTTTTTTTGCTGTACTGTATGTCCGCAACTAATTTAATTAGCGAATTCATAATCACCCGAGTGTTTAATCTCGGTTCCTTTGGCAATTATGAGGCCCAGGAGAATACAGGACTTGCGAAATGCGCAACACTGTATCGCAACAGAACGTGACATCGGTTTATTATGATCTGACTCTTTCAATCTGAAAGGCTTTAGCTGCTGACTTCACACATAAAGCGGCCGATGCCATTGCTCACAGCTGTCATCTCAATTTCCTGCCGAGTTACACAGTGTATATTTGATTAACCATAAGCATTCGGTTTCTATCTTTCGCTCATCGCACATCACATGCAATTTCATATTTAGTGCACTACATTAAACACAGTGCTATAGCATTGCTAGCTGACACATGCGCTGACTGATCAAGTTGGACAGGAACTTGTGAGAACTGCAAAACAACTCCGCTAACTTTGCTTGGCTTAATGGACTTTGAATTAGGGAGGATTGGCTAAGAGGGCAAAATGTGAGGATACATGGAAGGTAAATGAGATGATGAAAGAGTGTAGGGTTAAGTTAGCACAGTGGGTAAGGTGGTAAAGAGAAGGTTCCAGCATTGGTAAGAGAAAAGCACAAAGCCTCTTCCCACACAGAGACTGTGATAATGGCTTAGCCTCCATTCAATCTGAGCAGCCAGTCATTTCCTTAGCTATCACTTTCCACTGGGCTTTTACAAGGCACCAACTTCATTTATCATTAAAGCACACACACAACATGGACATATGCTACAGCTGAAAATACACACATGCTTAAAAGCTCAGCGGAGCACAGTGCAAACAGCAGAAGACTATTCGCACAGGTAAATAACAGAAGTATGTACACATGTACTCGGCGGACTGGATTTGACTACGCTACAATGTGTAAACAATTCCTCAAATCTGAGGTAAAGTCAGCTGTTTTGCTAACTTCCACTAGACTTGTGCTTAACTGCCACCAACCTTGCAGAAAAAACCCCAAAACAAAACAAAACGCAGGTTTTTAAAGGGGATTTGTGCACACATCAACAAAGATAAACCAGCAGAGCTCCTGCTTCCTAGCTAACAGGGAACATTCTCAGAATTTTAGCAAGTTCTGAAAAGGTTCTTTCAAGTTATGAACAAACTTTCTTCCAGTAACACTAATAGAATGTTCGTTCATTCATTATTTGGTCTTTAATAACGTTCTCAAAACATCAGCACAAAAACATTATTAATAGAAACATTTTTTGTTGGACACCAATCTAACATTTTTAAATGAATTCAGAAGAAAACATTCAAAAGTAACATCACCATAATGTTTGAAAATGGAATGTACCCTTAATGTTCACATAACCTTTTGGACATTTTGAACGTTCAGAGAACATTCAGAAATAATGTTTTTAAAATGTTATGGAAACTTTAGCAAAATGTTCTTTGAACATATTTTTGTTAGGTGGGTTAGCCAGTCTAGGCTAGACCAGCAAACCAGCTTTAGATGGATATTTGGTCTTCTCAATTGGTGTTCTTCAACTAAACATCTGCTTTCTAGTAGGTACTGTATATTTAATGTTGGTATAACAGTTGCGACAAATCAGCAGCAGCAACAGATATTTTCTTCTGTGACATACGGTACATCATCTGAGTGTATGGACTAGCGAAAAAGAAAATAAATGCAAGATGTGGACTTGGTTCTATACAGTAGCCATTAATTGAAGTTTGATATGTGGGTGTTGCACTCAAAAATAAACACAGTTGATTGTGGAGTGTCGGGGTTTAAGCAGATTAAATGATTGGAGAATGCTGGCATAGATCAACAGAGAGAAGTCTGTCAATTCACTGGAAGATTATGGCATTTTGATTAAAAATTATGGGGACATACAGTATAAGAGGGATTAATCAGAATAAGATCAATAATGTGCATTTCGAAAATAAAGGTGCATTTTTAATTCATGCCAGCACCTTTTCATCCTTTCTTTGATATGGGGTGTCAATACACACTTGCATTACAATAGTTAACAGTTTGAAGAGTTTTTGAAGAGTCATGATTAATTATGTTGCTGTCTGGTCATCTTGTTGTTTTTTCAAAATAAGCAAGTTGAAGAGTTTGGTAAACCTTTTATATCAGTTCTTGCTAAAAAAATAAATAAAAGAGTTAGAGTCAGATCTCATCCTGCCCGGGGCCAGACAACCATTCTTGCACTCTTTTCTTCTCATTAGACAGAAAAAAGGGAAAGCTGAAGGGGTGTGAGCCACTGAAAAAAAAGCTTTTGTCTTCCTCCTTTAACAACGCATGTCAGAATCCCATTACGCTCCTTATCACATTAAATTAATGTCTTCCAGCACAGAGGAGAGAACTTCAGAAATAAACACAGCCAGACAAAAGACAGTTTTCAATGTCCTGCTTCATATCAAGTGGCCTTTTCTAGAAAGGCGATCCTTTCTCTACGACTTCCGTGACTCTGACTTTTCATTACAGGGGCTTTTTGCTTGATTTTACAGTACTGTCCTTATTTCATCTACACATTTATCGTATTCTTCTTGAAGAGGCAGAAGAATTAGATCATCCCAATTCACCCACGTTTGGGTTCTCGTCTCTCTGTGGGACGCGGGCTGAATTCTTCACTTAATCATCTTGAATTATAGATCACTTCAAAGCACTGAGAAGAATGTCGGGCAAACAAGTAGTACAATATTTCTGTTCCTAGCGGAGAGGCACAGCAAACCTGACAGGTGGGAAACCTCTTTGAAGTGTGTGTATTTGAGTCACTGTGTTCAATCTGGGCACCAAAGCTCAGTTCCTTTCAATTAAATCCATGAGCTCCTTTAGTTCAAGAGGACAAGCTTGAAAGAGATTGTAGCGCTCACCTGTCTGACCCCATTCAGAATAATTTGGGTAATACCTTACGAACACAGGGTCTTGGTGATCTTCTGGGTCTCCTGACTGGATAGTACAGGTCAGGAAATTTTGTTCAATAATGAGACCTTACTCGCCTCAGTACACGGTACGGACCTTTGGAGCCAGATGAAGCCTAGCACTCATCCAAAGGAGGTTTATACAGTAATAGGAATGAGAAAAAAAATACATATTTTCAAAAGTTATCACTATTCATCTCAATGGCAAACGTTATCCTTTAGCATTTTTCATTCATCTCAATGGCTAAATCTATTTAACTTTAATCATTTTCTGTAGTAAAATCTATCAGTATTTCTATTCATCTTAATGGCTCTCAGCAAAAGTTATTGGTTAGCATTTCCATCGATTTCAGTGGTAAAAGCCATTGTTTATCATTTCCATTCATCTCTGTGACAAAATCTATCAGTTAACATTTATATTCATATTAAAAGTCACTGATAAGCGTTTCTATTAATTTCAGTGGTAAAAGCTACTGGTTAACATTTCCATTCATCTCAATGGAAAAGGTTATCGCTTATCGGTTAGCATTTCTATTAATTTTAGTGCTAAAAGCTATTGGTTAGCATTTCTATTCATTTCAGCAACAAAAGTTATCGGTTAGCATTTCTATTAATTTTAGTGCTAAAAGCTATTGGTTAGCATTTCTATTCATTTCAGCAACAAAAGTTATCGGTTAGCATTTCTATTAATTTTAGTGCTAAAAGCTATTGGTTTGCATTTCTATTCATCTCAGCGGAAAAGGTTATCAGTTCATATTTTTCCTTCATCTCAACATCAAGTTATCGGTTAGCATTTCTATTAATTTGAGTGGTAAAAACAGTTGGCCATCATTTCTGTTCATCTCAATAGCAAAAGCTATCGGTTAGCACCCTTACAAAAATTAACCATGGTTTTATTATAGTAAAAGTGTAGTAACCATCGTTTTTTGGCAGATTGATTACCAATTGTATAACCACAGTTTTACTACAAATACCATGGTTATACTATGGTTAGTGCAGCAGAACCAATTTGTTGTTAACATGGTTTAAATAACCATGTTTTTTTTTTGTTTTTTTTATTTGTAGTGAAACCATGGTTAATTTTTGGAAGGGCAATTATAGATATTTGTTTTTGAGCCAATCACCTAAGCAATACCTAAATGACAATGTGACAACTGAAAGTTGGCTTATGGTACCACTAGAACCATAAACACATTCTCAAAACCTTCACTAGTGACTATCCTGAGCTGTGACATAGATGTTGCAAAATGTTGCAAAAATTGGTATAATTAGGCTGATTTCAGGTTCACCTGACCCTTTTTTATATGTTTCTCCTGTTGCTTCTCCACTATCCTGTCAAATTAATGCCAAAAGCCCCCAATATTAGCAAATTACATTTCCATTTATGCATTTGACAGACAGACACTGCATTCAAGCTATACATTTTATCAGTTCAATTAAAAAAGCTGGACCATTTTAAAGAAAATTTTAAGACAGCCTTTCAAAGAGGTTTATATCGTCAAACTACGCACAGAAAGCTAATTAAAACAGACATATTGCGCTAGACATATCAAAATCAAAATATGTATCTTATATAAAATAGATAAACTCATATGTTCAATGGCCTTTTGCTGTATAGGTTAACCGAATGAATAACTGTCCTTGAATGGTGTCATCTCAGCAAGCCAGCTCTGTGAAGTATTCATGAGTGGGCCATGCTCTATTAAGCTGTCAGCGTGCTAAGTGATTAATGAGAGCTGTACATCCTGTGAGACTGAGCGTGAGAGAAAAAGAAACAGTAACGGAAGACGACAAGCAAACACTGAGGCGCAGGTGAACAGGGTTATTATGCTGGTAGCACAGGGAGTCATCATC